GTCCATCCATCCATCCATTCATCATCCATCCATCCATCCATCATCCATCCATCCATCATCCATCCATTCATCGTCCATCCATCCATCCATTCATCATCCATCCATCCATCCATCATCCATCCATCCATCATCCATCCATTCATCGTCCATCCATCCATCCATTCATTGCTGGCAATGCAAACCAAGCTCCTGCTGCGGTCAAACAGAGAGCAGACAGCCCTTAATAGAGGGACCCGGACCCCACAGTCCCGGAGAACCCCCCACAGGGCACCATGAGGGGTCAAAAGCCTTCTCCCGATTCACAGAACACACGTGGACTGGTTGGGCGAACTCCCACGAACCCTCTAGCACCGATGTAGAGCTTTATGTCAATCATCACATTAAAGCCAATAAAATATCTGCATTTTGTGCCTGAAGGAGACACCGTCTGTAATAGGTGTGAGTACTTCCTGTAGTAAGATGCGAGGCGGCCATCTTCCTCAGGAATTCTGGTTCATTGGTGCTGCAAAGGTTTATGTGTTCTAGTAATGTGTGGGAGAAGAATCCAGGCTTATGATTGGTGGATCAGATGGCAGCTAGCTAACAACTAAAGACCTGCAAGTCTCGCAGGATAAACGCACCAGGTGAGCTCAGTAAAGCTGCCCTGCAGGGGGAAACAGGAAGCTGACCTGGACTGCGGCACGGTCTTGTCCACGAACAGGAAGATGGCCTTCTCTGACGGCAACGCGATCCGTTTCCTGATGATCCACATGAACTGAGCCACCGTGATGTCAGACGGGACCAGGTACTTCCTCTTGTCAATGTCTACGATCTGAGAGCCGCACACCTTCTCCACGATCACCTGCCAGAGCCGCATGGATTCATGTTACAGACACAAGGATGCTGGACAGCAGCCTAATGTGGCGCGGCGTTCACTCACCGGGACCCGGTCCGGGTACTTGCTGCGGATTTTGGTGGACTCTAAGCATCGATGTTCTGCAGGAGAAGAGCACAGATTTTCACAGGTTCTCTGCTGCTGAGATGGACCAACACAGACCTCTGAATGATCGATTTTCTATAATCTACGTACACTCCTCCTTCCAAACAGGCATAAAGTTCAGATTAGCATATAGATTAGAAGGAGAGAGCAGAGCAATGATTTCTGCACCAGGAGCTGATTTCTCTGAACAATCAGAGAGTGAGTGACAGGTGTCAGCTCCAATGGAATAACAGGAAGGGCGCCTGGTGGGCCGCTGTGATAGATCAACTGCTTAGGATCTATGCGCACCACAGATGTGTCGATGCCTGATGAAAAACATTCCTAACGTAACAAAACTGCAAAACTCAACCTGACATATCTAAGGAAGCCTTGGAGGATCAGTTCTGCCCTCTGTGCAAATCCCTGAATATAAATTCCTGGTAGAGTCTGATCATTCAGAAGGCAGCAAACAGAACAGCTGAGCTCCTCATCCTTCCTTCCCACCTTTATTCTTCAGATTGTGATAAAAAGTTATTTTCTTGTTTTTAGATTCCATAGATTTTCCTTCATTTTTCTCTTTGGACACAGATCTCAGTCTCTTCAAAGGTTTTTGTTTCAGTGTTTTTGTCTCAGAGACACCATAACCCTGTCCTGTGTGATGAACTGTATCAGGTCTCTGATTTCAGGAGAGAAAAGCCTTTATTTCTATTTCTATTATGTTCAGTCTGGATGTCATTTCCAGGTCTCAGACCATTAAAAATGATTCATTTAGGCACATTTCAGATAATAAAATGATCTGAATTACCAACCTGCTAATGAGGAAAGGTTAGTTTTTATTTGGAATGTAAATCCCAGAGTTAGCAGCTATGATGTGTTTATCACGCGTGGGACTGGATGATATTTGTTCATGTAGAAAAAGGCAGATAAGAAATCAGGAAACAATAAACTAGATTAATTAGTAACAAACGGGGTCCTCAGCACAGCTGTTTGGAAAGGTTAGGTGGATGCTTGGTTGCCTGATGAAAATGCAGCAAGAGTAAACAATCAGGTCAGAATAAATGTGCTAATTGATCCTGGACTAAGATCTATCAACACGCATCTGTCGGTGCAGGATGTCAAATATTACGAGAAATTGAAGTTTGGGGATGAAATAAACGCATCAGGTGTCGGCAGCATGTGAAAGCCTGCGAGTCCCACAGATTAAACTGGAGGGCCTCCATCACCTGGGATGCTGCTCCTCAAATCAGGGTTGCAGTTCTTTAAAATGCAATTGCTGATGTTTCTCATGTGTGACCCTGCCATGATGTGTTTTATTCAGCCAGCTGTCATATCTTATTCCCTGCTGTTTGTCTGCAGACGCCACATTTTATCGTTTGCATGCAGAACAACTTTAAATCATTCACATTTTTAAAGTTTCTGGCAGGTGAGTACTATTTGATTTACTTTTTACTGTGAGTCTATACTGTCTGCTTCACAACAACAGATGATAAACAACAGCAGGAGTAGTTCTTCAAACGTCTGTGATGGTTTTCTCCCAGTTAATCTATCGCACCGGTCACCAGCTAATCTATCCCACCGGTCACCAGCTAATCTATCATACCGGTCACAAGCTAATCCATCCCACCGGTCACCAGTTAATTTACTTCAAGCCTCCCTGTCCTTCAGCCATGTTTGGCTCCTGAAGCCTGATCACAGAGCCAGAGGCAGCTCCTCTCTCCGGGTTTCAATGCTTCTCACCCAGGGAGTGATCCTCTTTGAACATCCACTTCATGGTGGCCGTTTCCGGGCTGGTTCCGCTCGACGCTGCGGGTCTCAAAGGTTCCGGTTCCTCAGCGGGTCTGGCGGTTCTGATTCCCCTGGATAAGAGCCTCTACTGGGGCGGAAGCAGCCAGTAAACCTCCGATAGACCAAAACAACAACAAACTCCCCCACCGCCTTCTTCTCAGCCGCCCTACCTGGCTCCGCCTACCCGTGACTAGTGAAGGGGCGGCCCAGACCGTACCACTCCGCTGCTCAGGGGGGGGGCGGGGGGGCGGAGGGAAAACAGAGCAGTGGTTTCACTCGTTACTGCTTCCAGTTAAAATGATAATTATTGTTATCATTTTATTAACTCTTATAAACTATCATACCCATCACGGGCTCAACTTTTAGAAGCAAAATACCGTTAGCATAAAAGGCCATCTGCCAGTATGTAACGGAAGTTGTAAAATTAATGGACTCACACGTTAAAAACGCCGCCATATTGGACAGGTAAGTTGGTGCGATCCTACCCGAGGAGTAGGACATCATTGGAGAATATAATCAGAGTTACTGAAACCTTTACACCGTTTTACTTATACACTTACATCATATGATGTGCATGTATGTAGTAAAATGAGATTTGATTTATATCTGTTTGCTTTGTAAAATCTGCATGTTTATAAGTTGCCTGTCACTGTCCATCTGAAGGATGTTTCACTGTAAGATAGTTACCTAATGTCCCTGGGATGCAACACAATCGCTGCAGAAATACATTAAGAGAACAAACTGAGTTTTTTTTTTATTTATTTTCCAGAACCAGAAAAACCAAATTGCGACAGATTCTGTCTGCAAATATTTTGTCACCAGGAAAACCTCCCAAACACGAGAACCCGCATGACAGCGGAACTCCAGAGTCAAAACAACTCAGAAACACAGTTTGGGGATGAGACACTCTACAATGTTACTTTTCAACAACTGTTTATTAACTAACAGTAATTCCTTAAACACTAAACAGAACAGTATTGGTCTTTTATTTTGAATACTTTCAATCTTGTAGCCTTGAACATCAGTTGTGCTTTCTGTTTTTCATTGGACTTCAACATACAGTGCACCTCCCCACGGTGACATCATTCCTCACCATGGCCGGTTCTAGACAGGGGCCAACGGGGGCCAGTGCCCCCGTAGATCATGTCCTGGCCCCTGTTATGGCCCCTGTACTGAAGACATAATACTAATCGAATGATGATCTGCACTGGAACAGACATGGTTACTGATAGGTCCTTTGGATCTATTTGATTCTTTTTCTTTACAAATTCTGTTTTACTAATTATTCAAAAACAATAAGGTGATAGTTTTAGTGGTTTTAAGATAGGATCCCAGTTTTCATCTGATAAATGTTTTTTTTTCACCACAAATAATAAAAATCCTCTAATTTCTACAGATGAATTTAACAGTTTTTTCTGAGTTCTAATTCAAATTTTATAGAAAACAGTTGCTTTAACTTAAATGAAGTCAAAAATATGTAAAATTCCTAAATATAAATGTATATCGACCTAATAAAAAATACAAATTGAAAATAAATTTCTGTTCATGCAGCTCTCTTAATATATTTGAATCTCTTGCCCTGTTTTTTATTTCATGCTTTTCTGGGCCCCCATGAAAACACGCTGGCCCCCTCCTGGCCCCCTGCTACATCTGGTCTAGATCCGCCACTGTTCCTCCCCTTCACTAGACGTGGATATACTTTAGTATATTCTGCTGTAAAATTAGTCCTATATTTTGGTTTTTTCCTCAAGGATTGAACCTCTGCCGTTTCCCAGGATGCACAGCTTTGAGTGGTAACTAGGTGACTGCCAGAGAGTAACCCAGAGAAACTTATCAAACTGATCCAATCAGCTCTCTGATCAACCAGTTGCCTGGAACACTGGTTGATCAGAGCATTGCTTTGGACAGATACACTGCACGGGATTCACCAGCAACCTCCTCCCTACACCGCTCTCTCTTGTTGTTCCTGTGCAATCACAGTAGTTCTAATCCGCACATGATGCACGAATTATTGTACTAGAAAAACACCACTTCCCATTGTCTAAAATCCGGGATAATTTATCCGACTTGCGGGCATCCGTGAACAACTATCGATATCAGGGAGAGTCCCGGAACTTCCGGGAGACTTGGGATATCTGATGTTAGGAGAGGAGGATAGAGGCCGAGGATAACAGGGCATCTCAACAACACCCACCAAACTCAGACATCAATACGTTGGTCTTTAGGATAAATCTGGTCAGTCCGTAATTGTCTTGATTTAGTCCAGAAATAGATCATGAGGTTGGGGTTAGTTGGCTTAAATTGGGTTGTGTTTGGTCTAATTTTGTTCCACTTCAGTCAAATAATAGATATTAAAAAGACTTTTCAACAATCTGAAAATGATGGAGTTTCAACCAAATGCAGATGTCATTTTGACGTAAATCATCTCATCTTTTCAATGTCCTTTCGGCCAGTTTTTGCTCAGTGGGCCTAGCCCACCCTAGCCAAGGATCCAGCAGGTCTCAGCGGCAGTTGGATACATTTCTCTCAAAGAGAAGTTAAACATTTTCTTTGCCTGTTTTGACACTAGCAGTAGCTCCACCGCATCCATCTATCTACAACAACAACTCAGTTTGAGTGAACAGTGGGGCTGGTGTAAAGGAAGCTGAATCTGAGTAAGGCTTCAGGAACAGACCTGGCAGGCTGAGAACTACACATCAACTGGTAAATCTTCACGAGGCATACAAGCAAGTCCTTCTTCCATGCTGCCACCTTAAAAGATCCACTGCAGAGAGGTGGAAATTACTTCCACCAAACCGCTAACACCTGCCATAATGAATACTTTACTGCTCTATGTTTAATACCATCCTCCCTCAGCAACTGGTTCCCAAACTCATCTTTTTATGAATATGTTGAATCCCAAACCGGCCCCAAACAGTAACCAAAACCACTAGCCCTAAACACTAACCCTAAACACTAGCCCTAAGCACTAGCCCTAAGCACTAGCCCTGAACACTAGGCTTAAAAACTAACCCTAAACACTAGCCCTAAGCACTAGCCCTAAGCACTAGCCCTGAACACTAGGCTTAAAAAC